TTTTTCAAGGAAGTACTTTTGATGTGTAATTAATTGTTGTGGAAATCTGCTATTGTGCTGACTACAACTACTTATGCTTAAGTATGCCAAAGGTCAACAGTTTATGCAGAACCAGGAAAATTGGGCCTAATAATAAATCAAATACCTCGTGTGTGTGTGTGTGTGTGTGTGTGTGTGTGTGTGTGTACCCCACATGGAGAACTGCGCTTGTTGCTAGAAATTCTGGTGGAAGGAGGAATATGGATAACAAAGGCAAATGGTCTGAAAACTGGAAATTCTTTTTGAAAATTAACAAAAACACACAACGCCCTGGCGAGAGTGGTTGAGAGGACCTTGCGTGGATGTCCATCACGAAAAGGGCTGAACTTGTTCTGTGGGATCCCATGGTGGGGAGCCAGACCTCAGGTAGAACAGGACCTGCGGTTGGAAGCTACAGAAAGGTTGGGTTTATAACATGGTGTAAAGGAATGTAAGGTCTGAACTGCCTGAAATAGAACGGATTGCCTCAGGAAGTGGTGGGCCCACATTGCCGTTCTTCTAAATGATTCCTCTCACCTTGCAGCTTCAGCCACTTCCTTCCCCTGGCTCTTCCTCCTGGCTTTTAAGTGGTGGTTCCTCCAAAACTTCACCCCCACGCTTCCCACGAGGCATTAGCAAGCTGCCCATTCTTTCTCACAGCCCTGCTTCTAGCAGAGTTGTCCCTATCTGCTTCCTCCAATGATCTCACTCCAGCCCCACAGCCCACGGCTCCTCAGAAACAGCCTTCTGACTCCCCAGTAGCTGAGTCCAAACACGCTTCAGTCCTTGTCACCAACCCTGGAGCTGCCACCTTCCTTCCGGAAACTCCCTCTACCCTTCTCTCTCTCCCAGGGCCACACCCAACCTGCCCTCCCCTCCTGCATCTGGCTCCTCACCAGCTCACCTGCCTTGAGGTGGCTATTTATGGCCAACACAAAGCTCCTCAGGGATCAGCTCGGGCCACCTCCTCCCCTCTTTTCTCTTCTTTTTCTTCTCTTTACTCTCCAAACAAGCTCACCGCCTTTTCCATCACCACCTGTACACACGCATGGCACTCACACACACTTACGTTCAGTCCTAACGTCTGTGTGAGCTCCAAACCCGCAGCCCAGCCTCCCGCAGGACATCTGCACGAGACGCTGCAAACACCTCAGATTTGTGATGTTCAAGCTGAATTGCCCACAGGTCCCCTGCAACTCCCAGGTCAGGTCCTCTTGGAGGGTCCCCACCTGGACACATGGCTTCGTCCTCTGTCCAGTTCTGAGCTCACGCTTTCCCTGGAACATGTTCCAGGCAGCTTACAGGGGGCCTGTCCTCCAGGAAGGAAGCAGCTGGTCCCTGCTCGTCCTTTGTGTGTGTGTGGAAAATACTTACATGAGATTCTCCTCTGAACAAAATTTTAGGTGTACAATACAGTCTCGTTAACTAAAGGCACAAGGTCTACAGGTGATCTCTGGACCTTCTGCTGGTGTAACAGGAGCTGCATGTCCCCACGTCCCACCCCAGGCCCTGGCCACCATCACCTTCTCCCTGCTCCTGAGTTTGACTATTCTGGATTCCTCAGGAAAGTGGATTCATGGAGTATCTGTCCTTCTGTGACTGGCTTATCTCACTCAGCATAGTGTACTTAAAAAAAAAAAGTATATATATATATATATATATATATATATATATATATATATGTATATGTGTGTGTATATGTGTGTGTGTGTGTGTGTGTGTGTGTGTGTGTGTGTGTGTGTATATATATATATATATATATATATATATATATATATAATTGATTTCAGAGAGGAAGGGAGAGGGAGAGAGAGAGAGAAACATCAATGATGAGAGAGAATCATTGATCAGCTGCCTCCCGCACACCCCCTACTGGGGATCGAGCCCACAACCAGAGCATGTACTCTTAACTGGAATCGAACCTGGAACCCGTCTATCCACTGAACCAAACCAGCTAGGACTAGCATAGTGTCCTTAAGGTTCACCCATTTTGTCACATACAGCTGGATTTCCTTCTTTCTCAAGGCTGAAAAATGTTCCAGTGTGTGCACTGACCACACTTCTTTCATCTACTCACCTCTCAATGGGATGGGCAGGTAGGTCGTTTCCAATCTTAGCTATTGTGAATAATGCTCCAATAAACACAGGGGTGCAGATGCCTCTTCCGGACACTGGTTTTATTTTCTTCGGATTAATACCTAGAAATGGCATTGCTGGATCATATGGCAGCTTTATTTTTCGTATTTTGAGGAACATGCCGTTTTCTATAGTAGCTGCACTAACTTACATTCATTCCCACCACAGTGAACAAGGGTTCCCTTTTCTCCCAATCTTCGCCAACATCTGCCTCTTTTTCCTCCTAAGTGTGAGGTGACATCTCACTGCAGTTTTGATTTGTATTTCTCTGATGATTAGTGAGGTTGAGCACCTTTCCATGTATCTGATGGCAGTTTGTATGTCTTCTTGGGAGAAATTTCTATTCAAGTCCTTTGCCTATTTTTAAATCTACTTTTTCTTGTGTGGATTTCTTGTTTGTTTGTTTGCTAATGAGTTTCTGATATATTTTGAAGAGTAAATCCTTATCATGCATGGGGTTTGCATATATCTTCTCCTGCTCCTTAGGTTGCCTCTGTTGGTGGTTTTCTTTGCTGTGCAGAGCTTTGTGGTTTGATGAGGTCCCACATGTTGATTTTTGCTTTTGTTGCTGTATTTCTGATATCATAGCCAAGAAATCATTGCCAAGGTCAATGTCATGAAGCTTTCCCTCTATGTCTTGTAGAATTTTTACAGTTTCAGATCTTTTCTGTCTTTAGTTCATTTTGAGTTAATGTTTGTGTGTGGTATGAGATAAGGGTCCAATTTCATTCCTTTACATGTGGAAATCCAGTTTCTCCAATACCATTTGTTGAACACTATGTTTTTCTGAATTGCTGTAGCTTTGTAATATGTTGGAAATCAGAAAGTGTGATGGCTCTAGCTTTGTTCATCTTCCCCAAGATCGTTTGGGCTATTTATGTTCTTTTGTGGTTCCATATGTATTTTAGGATGGGTTTTCCTATTTGCGTAAAAAATGCTGCTGGGGTTTTGATAGTGATCGCATAGCATCTGTAGATTTCTTTGGGTAGTGTGGACATTTTAATAATATTAAGTCCATTTATTCGTGTGTTCTTTAATTTAATTAATCAACGTGTTGTGATTTTCAGTGGAGGCTCTTTCACCTCCTTAGTTAAGTGTATTCCTAAGTATTTTTTGTTGTTGTTGTTGTTGTTGTTATTGAAAATGGGATTGTTTTCTTCATTTCCCTTTCAGATGGTTCATCGTTGGGGCACAAAAACACAATAGAGTTCTGTGTGTTGACTTTGCATCTTGCAGCTCCACTGAGTTCATCTGTTAGTTCTAACAGTTGTTTGGATGAGTCTTTATAGTTTTCTACATAGAAGGTCATCTCTCCTCTCCTCTCCTCTCCTCTCCTCTCCTCTCCTCTCCTCTCCTCTCCTCTCCTCTCCTCTCCTCTCCTTGCCTCGCCTCGCCTCGCCTTTCTGCAGCATAGAAACACATTCCTGGACTCCTTGGGAGAAGGACTCACAGACACCCTTCAGATAGTCAGTAAATGTTTGACGAAGGACAAACAGCTGGATACTGTTATCATAGGGAGAAGTCATGATGAGCAGGAATTGATCTAAAGTCAAGGTAGTACAAAAAGGAGCATGTTTATTACCTGCCTGTCCCCACCTTCTGATCCCTGACATCTCCTTTAGAGCTGCAGTCTCCACAATACGTGCACCTCACCCTCTGAGTCTCTCTGCATTGGTGCTAACATCATCACTCAAGTCCCCTTCACCCGCCAACACAGGTCAAAACATCTGCCACAAAAATAAAGAGAAAAAGGAGGACCCAGGGCCATGGCATGACTCCATCTACTCCGCCTGCTGCAGAATTCTCTTGGCTCCGGGCAAAAAGCAGCTGTTGGCTAAGAGGGTCACCATTACTGTATATGAACAAATAAAGCCCACTGGGAAAGAATGCTGCTCTCAATGGCTGACGCACAGGAGCACCCAGTGCGCAGGGAACACATGTAGTAAGGATTGTGTAATGAACTTTATAATGCTTAAAAGACATAATTTCAAAGGCAACACAGCTATAATTTCAGAGGCAAATCAGTGTTCCTTAGGCCAGCCTTAAACACACCACGGGTGTCTAATCTATCAGAGTTCGATTTAAAGAAAGGCTCTCCATCCCCAGTTGGTGTGGTTCAGTGGTTTAGTATCGACCTATGATCAATTCCCTGCCTGGATTGCAGTTTTGATCCCCAGTAGGGGGTGTGCAGGAGGCAGCTGATTAATGATTCTCTCATCATTGGTGTTTCTAACTCTCCCTCTCACTTTCCCTCTCTGAAACCAATGAAAAAAAAGAGAGGGAGAGAGAGAGAAAAAAAGCTCTCCTACATACACAGTGAGCACCCATGGAAGACTTATCTCACTCACTAATGAGAGAACCAGCAATATGACTGAGCTGGTACAAAGAGCATTTGGGAAGCTGGGTAGTTAGAAGCAATGGAAAGGAAAGATGAAATAAGATTGCTAAGTTACATAGGAAACTTGTTAATGTCCTCCAGGCAACACCAGCATGAGGTCTACAGTTCTCTTTTCTAGGATCAGGAACCATTTGCATACCTTCTGAGCAGAAACCCACATGTGCATATATAACTCCATGGTTATGCCATTGCTCAGTAAATAATGTGTCCAGCCAAAGCCGGTTTGGCTCAGTGGTAGAGCGTTGGTCTACGGACTGAAAGGTCCCAGGTTCAATTCCGGTCAAGGGCATGTACATTGGTTGCAGGCACATCCCCAGTAGGGGGTGTGCAAGAGGCAGCTGGTCGATGTTTCTCTCTCATCGACGTTTCTAGCTCTCTATCTCTCTCCCTTCCTCTCTGTGAAAAATCAATAAAATATATTTTAAAAAATAAAATATAATGTGTCCAACATAGATGTGCTTTGTAAAGAACTAAATAACCCTCAGGTGGGCCTATTAGACACTGCCCAGTATGACATGGAAGGGATAACAGCCACGATTTTGCTTTATTAACAAGGCTTTTTCAAAATAATTTTTCTTAGAAGAATATTAGAAGAGTAGAAATGAAATTACCATTATTTGCAAATGATATTATTTACCCGTGGATAATTCAAGGGAGCCACAAAAGCCTTTAGAGCAGGTTATAGGCTGACCTGGGCCCCCCAATTCATGTGTTGGGGTCATAACCCCAGGATCTCAGAACGTAGCTGTATGTGGAGTTCCACCTTTGCAGAAGTGGTAGACCCTACTCCATTGTGACTGTGTCCTGCAAGAAGAAGTGATCTGGACCCAGACATGTACAGAGAACAACCACATGGGGAAGACGGCTGTCTACATACCCAGGAGAAACCAACCCTGCAGACACTGGTCTCAGACTTCCAGCCTCTGGACTGTGAGACAGTGAATGTCAGTTGTGTGAATCCCCCAGTGTGTGGCACTTTGTTACCCAGCAACCTTAGCTGACTGATACTCAGGCTCAGCGTGTCTGACTGTAGAGAGTGCGCCAGAGGCAGTGGGCTGAGATGTATCCACACCCCATTGTCCTTTACCTCCTCATGTGAGCCTGCATCCCGCAGGAGCAAGGCACCTTCCCGGCCACCACCCACTCCAGCAGCTGTGTCCTCCAGGACCTGTTCCCTAAGTCACAGGTAGGCATGTCAGGCCAGCTGCTCCCTGAGCGAGGGATTCAGACTGTCCAAAACATACAAATGTAACATGTACACATGTAAAATGTTATAGTAGACTGTCCACATTTGGAAGAAAATGCACAGAACATCTGACAGCAACTTTAACAAGAAACATGCATGATCTATACACAGGATAGGAGGCTGGAAGTGTGCTCAGTGAGGTGTGAAGTCTCCGGACTAAATGTTAAATTTAACCCAATTCAATAAAGTGAGAGAATTTTTTACTTGAAAAATTGATTCTAAAATTCTACTGGAAGCATAAGTAGGTAACAAATGCCAAGACCAATCAGGGAACAGGGTGGGGACTTGTGTTCATAGCAGCCAGCTCTAAGAGCATAGTTCCTTTTCCACCTGAGGCTGAGCTTCCCTGGCTGAGCTGAGAGAACAAAGCAGAGCAGAGCTGTCCAATGGAGGGGGCCTGGCCCAGGGCTGCCCACTGCCATGCTGTATCAGAGTTGAGCTGTTTTGCACTGAATTGTTTTCCTTCTTGACCACACCCCAAGGTGGGGATTCTGTTGGCCTTGGAGCCAACAACCACCAGTTGTCAGCACATAGTAAACATTCCACCTTGTCCTGAGGCTGGAAGCACGAGGGGAATCAAGAGATAGCTGTGGCTGACCGTCAGAATCCAGGAAAGTCAGCATTTCCCCAAAGACCACTCTGAGGTAAAATGACGCTTGGCAGTGGGTCCAAAGAGAAGCTCCCACCTGCAGGAGCAGAGTTAGGGCCACCTGGTCCTCGAAGCATCTAGGTACTATTTTTAAGAAAAGTGGTATTTTTATTAAGAAAGGTATTGTTGCTGAAACCGGTTTGGCTCAGTGAATAGAGAGTCAGCCTGACAACCGAAGGGTCCCGGGTTCTATTCTGGTCAAGAGCATGTACCTTGGTTGCAAGCACATCCCTAGTGGGGGTTGTGCAGGAAGGGGCTGATCAATGTTTTTTGCTCGTCGATGTTTCTAGCTCTCTATATCTCTCCCTTCCTCATATATATATATATATATATATATATATATATATATATGAAAGATATTGTTTCTTACAACCATGGGCCTCAGTGATAGATATAAGGAGGCCCTGGGATGGCCCCGAGGTCTAAGCACCGCTCTCCATTGTCAGAGCAAGCAGGCCTTTGTGTTACCTACTTATATTTTTGAGCCTATCCTGCCAAAGGCATGTCTATACTGCTAAGTAACAAGCTAAAGGAATATGAAATACTCCACCAGCATATTACACATTATGCACAAATCTGTAGTATGTGTAATATTCTCACAAGTGCTCTAAAGGTGGAGATTAGAATGGAAACTTTATGTGTAAAAAAGCAGGGGCTCTGAAATTTAAGATTCTTCTCTGAGACCACACAGCAAGTGGAAGGCCCAAAACTAAGAGTTAATAGAGCTCCTGGCCCATGGCCCTGGGGACACTGAGTTGTTCGTGGAATCAGGAAGGGAAGTTCAGGTGCATGTGGACCCTGTCAACCTTCATAGTTGGCCCATGCGAGGGTCAAGGCCATCGGCACTGTCGTTGGATGCCACTCAGCAACTCCGCGAGGTGGGAGTCACACACAGGCTTGTAGTCAGTGCACCATCTCTCCATGTCTGAACCGGCCCCAGAGGCTGCCCGAGAAGGTGCATCCCAGTGGACACCTGGCGGGGTGGGCGTGTCTTCCTGCTTCGTGCCTTGTTCTGGGACCACAGGCCGCCCCTTCACACTCCCAGCGGACTCTAGTCCATTTGAGCGCTGCATTGAAGCAAACTTCATGTTTATAAAACCATGAATTATTAAAAAGCACTCAGGAATTTTGTGTTCCATTTGTACAAATCAATGAGCAGAGGGCTACATTCAGCCTTTGCTTTGCTGCTTATGTTTATAAAGGCAGTGCAAGCCAACAATATCAGACATACACGGAGAGCAATCCTAGTCATGCCGGCAGTAAATCTAAAAATGGCCTTTGTAAATCTCTATGAAGCAAAGGACTAGTCAGTTGGTAGACAGATAGATTTTGTTTTTAGTTTTTATGGCTGTTTCCAAAGGTACACAAGAGTACAAAGACTCACAGAGCCCATCCCCCACATCTAGCCGGCGCTCTGTGTGGCACCTGTTGTTCCTGCGTTAACTGCTTTTAGAACCACAATATGTTCAGATAAACGAACTGAAGAACCGAATAAATGCAAACATATGTGGGTACTAAATGTGAATGGTATAAAAATGACAATAATTATTCAATAAGATCTACGTTATCAAAATAATTCTAGAATTTAGGCAGACAAAAACAAAACACACTAAAATGGCCAAAGCATTTGAAAGACCAGGCAGGTCTGGTGAGCTCTGTATTAAACTGTAAAGCCACAAAAAGAACTGTTAGAGAAAGCAGACATTTCTTATGATGTTAGGGCAGGGAAGGGCTTTCTGAGCCTAACCCCCAAAATATTAGCTAATCTGATCTAATAAGATTTTTAAAAGTAGTCACACATTTATAAATTGAAAATAATTTAAAGACAAACTATTATAATTAGTATGCACATTTGGTCACCTTGCCTGGTATAAAATTAGTGTGCATAAATCAATTGTATTTCCGTGTGAGGAAAACACAGATAGAAAGCAAAATTTATCAAAGGCAGAATTTATCTGGGAATCAATCCAACAGAAGATGTATAGAACTTTTACACAGAAATCTACAAAGTGCCATTGAGAGAAATTGAAAGTTCCTAAGATAAACAAAACCTCCTCTGTAACGTGGTAGTGAGAGACATTTTAAAAGTTCTAAGTGAATGGGAGACTTTGCTTTGGCGCGTTTTGGCCAATTCATCTGTGAACTTCAGTTACAGTAAACCCCAGTTCACTTGGTGACTCAAAACTCAGATGCCTCAGATAATCCGAGAATGAAGCTTATTATAAAACAGGGTTTGTTAGGAAACTATAGTGACTGAGCAAGTATGATTTGCACAAGGACGGACAGACTGGCGCAGAGGTAGACACACCGCGATGGGGTGGGGAAAGGGCTTTGTTTCGCACACAGCCGAGGCCCTATCTGTGGCGATAAAGGCATGCTGTGCACTTGAGCAAACTGTCTTCTAGAAAAGCAGTGCTCACTCACAACCTATTAAATTCCTGGCCATCTCCCTGTCAGGTCAGCCGTCAACTCTTTCCTCACCTGGTTGTTGTGCTTGTGGGGAGGTTTTGTGTCTTCACGAAGCACTTGGGCTGCTTTTTAACAATCACCTCTTCGCCCCCACTGCCTGATGTTTTGTTGGGATGGTCACCGTTTCTCTTGATGATTTCTCGTGCACTTTGTAATCTCTCTACGTATTAAAAGTGTATTTCTTTCTTTCTTTCTTTCTTTCTTTCTTTCTTTTTTATTGTCTAAAGTTTTACATTTGTCTCCTTTTTCTCTGATTGACCACCCATTCCCCCACCCCAGAGCCATTCCCACCCTGGGCAAGCCCCCATCAAGATGTTTTTCTTTCTCTGGTGCATTTTGAAAGTGCTGATGCTGGCGGCAGGCAGCATGGGTGCTGGGTGCTTAGATGCTGCGTCAGGTGGCTCCAAGGGGCTGCTTCTACAGGCCCAGCCCCGCAGTGACCAGTGGACCCAGCCCCTGGCCCCGATTCAGGTGCCTCCGAAGGGCCACCTGCCTCAGGCCTCTCTGTGGGCCCGACTGGGGCCTTTGTGGAGACTGCATGCCCAGTGTGGAGACTGCTTCTCTCCTCACCTGCCTCCTCAGTGTGGATCCCCAGAGCTGCCCGAGGCAGCCTGCTGTCTGCTCATCCCCACCTCAGAGACTGAGAGCCCTGCCACAGCACTTCAAACATAAAGAAGACCTTACGTTGTCAATCCTGTTCGTTTGCTTTACGGGTTTTGCATCTGTGAAATCCTTAGAAGGTTCTCCTGCTTTCCCGTGATGATGTGAATATTAAATATTTACACTCGGAGCAATATGGCACCTGGCGCGTATGTGGGATGAAATGTAGAGAACTGAACTCCATTTCTTTCCCCAAGGCCCTGGAAGCCACAGTACTGCTTATTGAACAATCAATCCCTGTGCCACTGATTTGAAATATCACCTTAATAACAGAGTAAATCATTAAGGGATTTGGATTTGTTTCTGGCTTCCTGGTACATTAGGCTGGTCTCGTCCTGCGCCAGCCACGCTGCTGGGGGCCCCACAGCCGCTGGGCCTCTCCACCAGGACCAGACCCAGGACTCCCCCCAGGGAACGGCCACATGTGTTTGATTTGTAAAGCTGACAGTCCGCCCTGCTCACATCTGTGGGCCCCCGTCCAGCCCGGTCACACTATCTAAGTCAGTCCCTCAACGTCTGTCTACTGACTGGTGATAATGACATGTCCCAGGACCCCAGCACAGCATGTAGGCACAGAGGAACGCTCGGTACCTGTCCCTTAACCAGCCGGGAAGAATTTTGACTCCTGAGCTGTCCCACCAGCCCACATTGTCTCCCCGGCAGGTACCTGTGTCAGGACAGATTGCAGACAAATGTCCTCCTCTCTCCCATGGCTGCTCAGTGCAGACCCCTCATCCACTCTGTGTTCAGGTTAAGTGAATCCTGTTCAGACTTTCCACCCCACCAACCTAAGGGGGGTCTGAAGGTGTTGCCCCAGTGACTACGGCCAATCACTGCCCAGTCGGTCCTGTCTCCCTCACGATGCAGGAAAGACTGGTGGATGGGGGTAGGCCTCGCTCACCCAGCCCACCCCTCTCCTTCCCTCCCCCAGGCAGACACCTTACTCCTCAGTACCGCTCACCTGTGGGACCCAGAATTCATTATTCCAGGTGCACTGAGGCTGCTGCTGATCTGTTGCTGTCAGTGTTGTCTCTGCTGGGTGGTTTGCTCTTAAACCATCTCCTAGGGAGGCTGCTCAAGTGTGAAATGGTGAACTTGAGTCCTGGCGATCCATGGGATGTCCTGGTGGCCTGAGGGGCCAGGCTCTGCCTCCTCAGTCTTTGCTCTTGACAGAGGAGGGAGAGGGGAGGGGGGAGACCCAACAGGAAGCTGGCCCCAGAGCAGGTCTGGACGTTGTGGCCGGGGCCCTGTGTGAGGCCCTCTCCTCCTGCTCGTGGGCCCTGCTCCCTCCTGCGCACCCCCCGGGAGTCTGAGCAGTGAAAGGCCCTGTCTCTGCCGGGAGGCCTGGGTGGACCACGAAACAGGAAATAAGGGGCTGTACAGACCCTGGAGGAATCACTGCTCTCCCAGCGCTGCAGGAGTTCTGAGGGTCCCCCCTCCCACATGGGAATACCTCCAGGTGTCACTCTCCTTTCACCGTCTGTGGCCGCAGCACACATCTTTGAGGCAGAATCCAAAATGACCGCAGTGAGAATGAAACCCACAGGAGGAGTAATTTCCCCAGATGCCCCCCTTCCTCTGCACCTTAGACTCGGCAGGCCCACAGGAATCCAGAGGGGCTGGGAACATGGTCTTGGGGGGCTCTGGGGGCTGTGGTCCAGGCGAGCTCTGCTTGCTCTCAGAGGCAGTTTTTAAGCCTTGTTTTGTGAGACATGGACCCAGGCAGAGATTAAAAATAAGAGCACAGCACTGAGGTGACAGGATGAAAAGGGTGATGGGTGGGGGTGGGGAGTGACTGAGGATTGGTCTAGCACAGATGAGAGAGCAGGGGCAGGGGCGCCCCCATGATCCCCAGGGTGGATGGAGGTGGCCAGTGGTCGGTTTTGGACTCACTCACCTGCCTGGTCACAGGAGACTCATTTCCTTGGGATGAAAGTGAGACCCGCAGCTGCCTAGCAGGGCTGAGAGAAGATCAAAGCCAAAAGCTGCTGTGCGTCATAGCATCAATAGCGCAACTCCTTTTTAAGCTCTTCCACTGTGAAATAGCTTCAGATTAAAGAAAAGTTGCAAAAAGGAACCCAGAGGCCCGTGTGCCTCTCCCCATAATGTTGACGTCTCGGATCGCCATGGCGCAATGATCGAAACTGAGAGTTTCCCATCAGCCCGATGGTATTACCGAAATGACGAACGCTGTTTGGATTTCATGTGTTTTCCCCTCATGTCCTGTTCCCGCTCCAGGCTCTCACGTTGCACCGAGCGGCTCTGCATGACTTCCTGCGGGACACCTCCCAGCGCTGGTTTATTTGCTCAGGGAGTCTTTCGAAGGACCTCTCACCACCTCATGAGAGAGAAGTGAGGGGTGTGGGTGTCCTTAGGGGACAGGCAGTTACACAATACGGCAAACATCCCCACGCATGTGCCGAGGGGTGTCTGACCCAGCGTTCCTAACTGGCTGGGGGACGTCTGGAATGTGACCCCCACGAGGCAGCCTCGGGTCGCCGCCGTCCGTGGGGACCCAGGGAAGTGCCTGGTTTTTCTCCTGGCGAGTACACACAGCTGCCTGCTCAGCCACGGGTCACAAAGCACAGTCCTTTGGAAAGGGTCCTAAACCTGCCCCGAGCTCAAGAAGGACGACAAATAAAAAATCTGGAGCGCATTAGGATACACGGATGTGTCGGAGGCCAAGTTTGACTGCCCGGTCCATTGCTGAAACGGTAAACCGTCTGTGGGAAGGCGCGGGCTCTCTGGGGTTGCCAAAGACACCAGGCTGCTTCCAAACATTCTGGGACAACTGGAAAGTCTGTCCGCCCTCAGCGTCACCGTGCGACACTTCAAAGCAGAGGCTGTCGGCCCGAGGCGTCCCAGCTTCAGGATGGCCGGTCGGGTGGACCAAGCCCGTGGCCAGGTGTCTGCGGAGCGTGGTTGAGGAGTCAAAATTCCACCGGAGGTAAAAACACAGCCCTGGTCTCAGAGCCTTCGCCCCGAGAGCCGGTGGTTTATGACCTGGAAAAGCTGAATGTACCAACTCCAGAGGACTCAGCGGTCCGGGCTCAGAGAAGTCAGGCAGGAAGCACAAAGGAGATGAAGTGGAGGAGGCTCGGTTCCCTTTCCCATCTTGCTGGGCTGTGGGTGGGCACACCCTCCCCTCCGTGCTTCCACCCGCTCACCAGGTGGCCCGTCCCCAGCACAGCGGGCTTCCCTCGGCGGCACCCTTCCGGCAGCCTGTCCCCTGCCCAGATGCCCTGGCCCATCTCTGCTGCCCAAAGACCTGCTGCTTGTCCTTCCAGACCCAGAACCCTTGCCGCGCCCCACCATATGTGCTGCACTAAGGGGTGCCCTCCTGGCTCGTTGCTGGCTCTCCTGAAAGCCCTTGAGCATTTCAGAGAAGTTTTGTGTCTGCCTACAGTAGGGGTGTCGAACTCAATCAGAGAAGGGGCCAAAATCTAAAATCCAGCCTAAATTGCGGGCCGAATGGTTTACTGAACAGTCATAAACTGTCATTGTGATGGAAACGCGGCGGAGTGCAGTGATGACAGCGCGGTGCAGGCCACATTGCAAGGCCTGGCAGGACGGATTTGGCCCGCGGGCCTTGTGTTTGACACATGTGGCCTACAGGACCCCATCCAGGTTATGTTTGATGCTCATGTCCCTGCCCTGAGCACAGGGACCCCGTGGGTGTCCTCAGAAGCTGGTTGGGTGAAGGGGCAAAGGGGAGCAGAGGAGCATGCTATTCCCCTGGGAAATGGCACTGGTAGGAAGGATGACTTGTTGCAACATCTGAGGAGCTCAGAGCAAAACCTCAGTTAATGTGGGAGAAGGAAGACGGAGCCCTCGGCACTCGGAGCCCTTCCCCATAGACTTCGGAAACGCTTGCCGTGTTAGGAAGCAGAGCCCCGAAAAGGGAAAATGCCCCAGAGAAACGAAACGCTGGTCTACAGATGCCTCTCAAACAATGAAGGGCAAATCCTTAAACACCGGAGGCGCCCGGAGCACCCATGTGGGCCAGGGCTGACGGCCAAGACTGAGCTCCACGCTGAGCTGACGCTCCTCAAGGACAGATGGCCCTCGGGGACACGAGCTGCGTGGGGAGCGTCTCAGGAGGGATTTCAGTGGTGGCAGTGGGACCGTTCTTGTCAAATATTCTATGTAACTCGGTATCGTCAAAGCCTGGCCTGTGGTGCAAACATTGGTTCTGCTCTGGCCACAGCAATTGTCGGAGGCCCATCCCTTCCTGGTGCGGCTTCCAATGCTCCGGACCTCGGTGAACAGAACAGGACCCAGGACCTGACCTCCAGCGGGAAGCTTTCTGAGCACCATCGGCTGGTCCATGTGCAGCTGTGGTACCGACAGGCTCAGGGGGCCTTCTCTGTCGCTCTCTCTGTCAGAGTCCACGGGCGCCTTGTGGGGAAGAGTGAGGCGAGACCTAAACATGCAAACTTGCCCTGAGACTCCCAGAAATGGAGACTCGGGAGGCCATTGCGGGGACTCACCCTTGCCGCTTTGTCACGCCCACCCCTGCTGGCCGGACACACCGTCGTCTCTGGATGACAAACAGAATCTGTGGGTCAGGCCTGAAGGATCTCTTCAGTCTCCGAGACCACCACAGGCGGCAGCAGCAAGACTGGCCTGCCAGCCCTGTGGGAGGGGCAGCTGAGGGTCACGCCCAGGTGACAACCCATGGGACCCTCCCACAGGCCACGCTGGACCCTCCAGAGAAGAGAGGATGGGCCAACGCTGCTGTGGAGCCCCGCTTGCTGGGGAGCTGTGCCCAGGCCAGACTCAGGCGAGACAAGCCAGCTCCCTACTCGGCTGCACGAAGCTGCTAGCACCTCCAGTTCAGTGCTGATTAGCAACAGTGTGTTTAATAGAAATCTCAAGGTTCATTACGGGATGTGGATTAATTAAATTGAGAGAGAAGATAATGAAAAATATTCCCACTGGACACATAAAAGAGCAGCCCTGCTGTGGCAGGAGGAGTGGATGGAAACATGCGGAACTACTAGACCCCCCCCCCCCCCCCCCCACACGTTTGCCACTTGGAAATGCACGCAGTGTTCCTGCCGTTTCCTTAGAGCAAAGATAGTGGCAGCAGCCCCGGGGACACGCAGCCTCCCTCAGGTTCTCCTCGGGCATGCGGCTGAGTCCTGGCCACCTCCACCCCAGGCCTAGCATCACAGGAGATGCTCCTTGGCTGGCGCCCGCGCGGACCTTGGAGCTGGCCAATTCCTCATCTCTTTCCTTACCAAGGGTTCTGGGAAGGAGAGAAGAAAGAGGACTGGGCAGAACTCTTTGCTCTGAGCACACTCTGGAGGAGCAGGGCGGCTGGTGACTCCAAAGGTGCTGCTGGTCCTGGATCCCGGAGAGTCTTCAGGGAACGCTGGCAAAGTCGGCTCCAAACTTACTGACGAACCTGCTGGAGCACAAGGAGCTGATTGAGTTAAAGTGCACATACATCTAAATACCGAGACTTCACTCCCAGACTCCTGGTGATCGACCGAGCACTCTTTGCCAGCACACCGAGCACTCTTTGCCAGCACACACACACTCTGCCCTGTGCGCTCATTGTTGTACTCCACGAGAGGCAGGCCATCAGTGGGCTGTGGGGCCTCGGCTCACTCTCACGGAACAAGTTGTCTCTCTGGACCTTTGAGGAAGACCTCCCGAAGGCCCCTGGGGCCATTGCCAAGCCTATGGTGGAGGAAGGTGGGATAATTCTGAATGCTTCCATCAGGATAGGATATGGATTTGGCCTGGGCCAAGGAGTGCATATGGGAGGCAGCCAATGGATGTGTCTCTCTCACATTGGTGTTTCTCTCTCTTTCCTCTGACTCCCCTTCTTCTCCCCTCCTTTCCACTCTCTCTGAAAGGCAATGGCAAAACTATCCTCATGTAAAGATTAACAAACAAAACAAGAAAGAAAAAGAAAACTCTGTGGTAACAGGCTTTACACCTGCTGCTCCTGAGACACCACCGCGCCCCCCCCCTGCTCTCCCCCCCCACCCCCGCACCCCCCCGGCCCCTGCTAGGCCATCTTCCAGTCAGCAAGTCACAGCCTCACAAGAAATATGAAGAAAGGCAAAAGTGGTTTGGAAATGTCGATACGAAATGCATAATTCAGGGAGCGTGCCTCCCCGGGGGACGGCTGATGGACGAGCTGTGATAAAGACGGGGGTCGAGTTTTCACAGTGCGGAAGGAGATGTTAACCCAACCTGCAGCCTCTGCACACTTGGCAGAGGTCCAGGGACACGACCCTGCTCGGTCGCCCGGGTCAGTGACTGGGGCTGCTGAGGAGGATGTGTGGAAAGCCAGGCCGCAAGGGAGCCAGGCCGCTCCTGCCTTCCAACGGTGCAGACACCCAGCTGTTGCCTAGCAACCAAATATGTTTCCTGCCAAAGATGGAAAGATGTGATCAGATGGGGCATTTTTTTTTTTTTTTCTGAGTAGTCAACCAGTTTGTTGTCTGGCTATAGAGTCAGTCCTGGCCCTGGATGCCTCCACCTGCACATGCTGAACCCCAGGGAACTCCAGGTCTCCTGGGTGGGATGGCACAGTGTGCAAGGGACAGAGAGGGGACCCAGACCAGCTTCCAGCCAGCACTTGGGGAGAGTTTCCAGAAAGCTCTGGGGAAACTTACTTAATCTCTCCCCGTAAATGAGCAGATAGATAACACTTGTATCCAGCCACCTCCGAGTTGGCTGACAAGTATCCAGTAAAGCGGTTCCACGCCACAAAGCCCTGCAGAAAGGAGGACCTTTGCTCTCCACTCCTGACCCTGTACTTTCACAAATGTCAACTCTCCGGGCAGGAGGCAGAGTCTGTCCAGCAGGAGATTATGAGGATTTTTATATATGGGTCAAACTCTACGTTTTCTCTGCAACTTGCTTTATTCCATTAGGAACACATGTTGCAGGTCACTCCAAGTCAATATATGCATGTAAGCTTCATTTTTACTGCTCTTTGGTATTTCATAGTATAGACATGCTCACATTTGTTTCCATTTTGTAATTCAAATACATGCTGTGGTGTGTTTCTCTCCTACCAATAGGGAATATTTCAAAGCGGCATGCACAGCCTTTCTGCAGTGGAGGGAAGTTTCTTCTACTATATCTTTGGTTTTTATTTCTCCTACTCTCGTAATATGAACAGCTGACATTGATTGATACTGTCCCTCTGCCAGGAACTGTTCCAAACTCTCTGTTCTAAGACAATACATAAGGAGGTGGAGTTTGGAAGAAATCAAATAGGAGCATGGAAAATCATCAGTGAAGTGGGATGGAGGGAAGATAAAATATGCAAGAAGGCAACTATCACCAATGCATACTACTTAGCTCAGCAGCAAATTGTTCATAAATAGACATTATGTAAATAGTGTTTTTTTTATTTAAAATTGTGATATATCTACCTTAAGAGAGTGGTGATCATCCTCCACAACAGGAGTCACTGATAGCATCTTGTCCAGGTGCTTCCTACTATCCCACTGTCCTCTTCCTGCAACCAGGTACAGACTACATTTCCCAGCCTCCCTTGCACTTAGGCTGAGACATGTGAGTGTTGTCAGCCAATGAAATGTGCCATCTGTAGGCTTTCAATTAAACCTCCAGGTACCCT